TGTAAGTTATTTTCTTTTTTATTTATTTGAAAAAAAAAATACACTTTTCTTATAAACAAAAGTCAATTTTCTTTTCTTTTCATTACTTTTTTTTTAATCTAATTTTCTTATAACAAAATGCTCTTTTCGTATAATTTACATATGGATGGAGACCTACGTTGAACTGTAATATCGACTCCTTTTACTCATTTTCTTACATGTATAAATTTTTTGTTTTTCATGCCTTTAATTCTTTTGTATTTTTAGGTTCAATTTCTTCAAGAAAGAAATGCTAGCGTTGTTATCCGTGATGAGCGTGACCTTAATGTCATCCGTGTTCGAGAGGTAGGCCCAATTTAATTATATAGATTTTTTTTTATTCAAAACACCGTATATTCTTACTTACATTTTTTAAAAAAACTTTCTACATATATATTTATTTTTTGTAGGCAAAGAAAAAAAAAATTGCCAAGGCATTGTTGAAAAAAAACGACAAGACCACCGTTTCGGTCAAGGGAAAGGAAAATGGATGTTTAGTAGTATGGCTTTTCAACATTTCCATTTTAAGTTCTTTTTTTGACATATTTATTTTGGAGCATGAACCTCGATCAATTTTTTTTTTTTAATGTAAAATTTACATACTACTTGCACAGTGCCATATACTTGTTTTTGTAGTAAACAATTTCATGTAAATTTGTGAAATGTTTTTTTTGAAGCATGCTAAAATAGCATTTGTACAAAAACGTTATATGTGTTTTAAATTATTATTATTCTTTTTTCGGCTTTTTGCTATTGGCATGAACATAAACAAGAGAAGAAAAAAGGAAGAGAACAAAAAAGGAATGAGGGGGGGAGGGTATAGAATGAAAAGTTTTCAATTTTTTTACAAAATATCAGAAGGAAAGGGAATTAAGAAAGTAAATTAAAAGGATAGAAAAATGAAGAGAAAAGTATAAAACAGCAGATGATAATATTCATATTTTAGGCATCTTATGAAATTAACAATATTATATCGAAAGCTGCGTTGGCTCAACGTGTACGGCGAGAACGTGAAAGAAATGAAAGGGCAAGCTCTACATATCAATTGGGACAACGTTTGCGACGCGAACGAGAGAGATCAAGAGAATTGATTCCATCAAGCACAACTAATACTCCACCGGCTCAAAAAAGAGTAGTGTTTACACATCTTACTTCGCCAAGTACATCTTTAGCTTCACAAAGGAATTGGTAAAACACTGTATTTTTTTTCTATAAATACATATTCTTATTGTTAATATTTTATTTTATAAATTTTATTTTGTGCACAACAAATATTTGCAGGCCTACTCATGCAAGCCCATTTCTATTGTGGAGCACTGATTGGTGTGCTTAATTGGTTATTTGTCATTTTTTTTTTGTATTGTAGAATACTGGTTAATGTTCTTAATTTGTTGTTTTGCATTTTCTTTGTATTACAGAATATTGGCTGGTGTGCTTAATTTGTTATTTGACATTTTTTTTTTTGTATTGCGGAGCACTAGTTGGTGTGCTTAATTTGTTGTTTATTTTTCCTATTACAGAGCATTGGCTGGCATATTTCGTTTGATTTTTATTATATGTTTATGTATTGTGGGACTTACATTTTGTTATTTGTTTAAAATCTTATACTTTTGTTGTGGTTGAATTTTACGTAGCATTTATGTTTTTACTTTTCACTATTTCGTTTACTTATAAATTTGAAAAATTTATGTTTAGATTGATTTTTTTACCAAATAGCATACAATTTATTTATTTTTCATTTATTTAATTTTCTGCACAGTAAGCTGACCACCAAATCATAAAAATTGGTAGATTTCAACCATTAGATTAAAATTGATGCAAAACTATAGCCATGAGATCTCTCTTCTTTATAGAAATTTATGTGAGTATTGTTGTTGGCCAGGGTAATAAATTGCTTATTTTCTGTTGCAAATTGCAGGTGGGTTAAATAAACAAAAATACTACAATAGTAAATATTTGGTGATCTGGTCTTTGTTTGCATTTGTGTCATCACTATTTTCACGTTTTCTTGGCCAAGATAATAATTGTGTTATCACTATTTTCATATTTTCTTGATAAATTGTAGCAATTTCCATCACATTGCCTCCACCACTACTAATCATGGACCATACCATTTTTTGCCATTTAAATTTTGTGTCAATGCAAAAAAATGCAACTATTTTTGCATTGACAATTTGAGTTCAAATACTATATCAATCACAATGATATTATTGAAACTTGCTTATTGTTAAAAATAAAAATTTCTAGCGAAACCTATCGTTAAATTCAATTGGACAGTTTTTGTATGTTTATCATTAAGTTTGCAATAGAGAAAAGGAGGGTCTAATTTTTTTTAATTTCTGCATCTCTCTAAATTTTATAATTTTGAAAAATATTTAAATTGAGTGGATTTGAAAAGTAAAAAATATTGATTAAAATATTAAAAAGTTCACTAAAAATAATAAAATTAAAATTAAAATTTTAAAAACTATTTTTGGAAACTCCAAAACTAAGTAAGTTTTGAATTTTAAAATTGTAAAAATTATTTTTAAAATATACAACCAAACAAAATTTTAAGTTTGACAAACTCTTTTCAAAAATCAAATTATAAAATTCATTTAAAAATCCAAAAGGCACGGTGAAAAAAAAAATGAGGTGAAAATATAAATAGATGATTCGTATGATTTTGGATCTAAACTCAAAAAAGATGGTTAATGTCATTTAAAATCCTGGTATGAACAACATCAAAAGAATTAAATGAGCAAATTGGATTGTATGTAAATTATAGTATAAAAAGGATGAAACTACTCCTATGAAGCTCCTCAAAATTGGATAGCATTATCAAAAATAAGAAATTGGTAAACTACACTGACCACTGGAAGTATAAAAAAAAATACACTAAATTCTCACAAGTTTGAGATAATTACACAAAAAAAAAAATAGAGAGAAAGAAAATCCAAAAAAACAGAGATCAAGGTACTAACCAGATCGAGAAACAGCAATCTAGAAGACAAAATACAGAGATCAAAACACAATTAGAAATCAAACAAAAAATTGAAAAAGAACAAAATGTGACCATTGATAATTAAAGAGAGCCTCAACCGATTTGATTATGATGAAATAAAAATGATTCTTAATATGAAATCCATTTTTCCTTATCCCCCATGTGAGAGAGAGAGAGAGAGAGAGAGAGAGAGAGAAGTGGGTCAATCCAATTAATGTTAAAAAAGAACTAAGAAAAAAACACAACACAAATTTTTTTTTTTCCAGGAAAAAACAATGGGTGAAGTCAGGAAGAGTAAAATAAATCTGAGATAGTAAATAACAATGCATATGATTCAAACTGCAATGCATATGATTCAAACTTTCTTTTCCTCTCTCTCTCTTAACAATCAACAGCCAAACTAAAAAAACAAAAACAAAAAAAATAAAAAGAAAATCCAAAAAACAGAGATAAAAAACACAATGTGACCAATTAAAGAGAGCCTCAACCTATTGTGTTGGGTCAATCCAATTAATGTTAAAAAAGAACTAACAAAAAAACACAACACATATTTTTTTTTTGCTTCAAATTGTGTTTTGATCAAACAACAATGCATATGATTCAAACTTCCTTTTCCGCTCAAAAGGAATATGAGCAAAACATAGTCATCTCAAAAGCATTTTTTTTTTTTGTTGATAAATAGTCTTCCATTTTTTCCAATCAATGTTATGTTTAATCATCAATGTTATGTTCAACCATTTTTTCCAATCAATGTTATGTTCCATTTTTTCCATTAATCTTTTTTTTTTTTTTTGCTGTGCAATACATCAAGGTTATGTTCAATCAATGTTTGGATCATTCAAAAATTTTCATATGAATTCAGGTAAGTTAATGTTATTTACTTTTTGTATGAGATTACTTAGGAGAATCATGACATCTTGGGATTACAAAGGTTTTTGTATGTATGACATCTTGGGATTACAAAGGTTTTTGTATGTATGACATCTTGGGATTACAAAGGTTTTTGTATGTATAACACCATTAAAATATTTAAAATATTCCATTGATCGTTGTAATATAAGCAAAACATAGTCATCTCAAATGCTACAATAAGCAACATGAAAGAGCAGCAAAAATGCGAGGGGAGCATTCACAAGTTTAAATTGAAAATTTGAAAATTGAAAACTCATTCACAAATTGAAAATACAGAATAAGTTTTAGTTACCTTACTTTTGATTGACCTGCCACTGAAGTTGGAAGCATTCATAAATTTAAATTGAAAAATGCAGCTATGCGAAGTCTAGACCGTGGCTGCCACATTTACTTGATAAACCCATTTTTTTCGCTCTAGCAAATTGTTCAGATCAGCATCAATAATTGATTTCATGAACCTACAGATACCCGAGAACATGAAAGAGCAGCAAACACTCATTTGCTTTTAATGCTGATACCCAAGAACATGATGGGATGATGACAAAAAAAGAAAAACAGAGCTATAAATTGGGAAAAAAAACAGAGGTAAAAAAATGAAAGTGAGCAAATAAGAGTTCCTTACTTGGGTTTCTCAAAATTTTGTTCATACATACTTATGTGAAGTGGAGCATACAAATCTGGAGTGCAGTCGGTTGGTGAGAGGTGATAGGTAAACAAATTTGGATCATTGAATTTTAGCCATTAGCTATTGATAAATCTAGACCACTGAAACTCTTTTCAATCTCAGCCATTGCTTTTAAATTAGACAAATCTAAATTATTAAAGATAGTTTGTGAGAGAGATTTTTGAAAATAAATCTAAGCCATTGCTTTTCAAATTAGATTGATCTGAACCGTTAATTTGAGAGACATTTTCAAATGAACCCTTTCATTGTTATATAGATTAGACAAATCTGAACCATTAAAGATAATTCATGAGAGAGATATTTTTAAAAATAAATTTGAACCATTACTTTTTAAATTAGATTGTTCTGAATTATTAATTTGAGAGACATTTTCAAATGAACCCATTGTTATATAGATATTTTTATTTGTGTTTTTTGTTTGGGAGAGAAGAGGGGGTTGGGTTCCTCGTCAATTTCTCTTTTGTTGCCTTGCTTTCCTTGTAATGCTGAGCATTTAGAGAGAGAGAGAGAGAGAGAGCGAGAGAGAGAGAATTCCACAATTTGGAATCCACACCAAAACCCTCTCTTTGATCTATCGAATCTATATTTCTTGGAGAACGGCAAAGACTACTAACATTACATCATAATAGTCTCATAGACCGTGAGTAAGTGATAAGAAGACCTGCGAAATCTCCAAAAATAAAGCTTTGTTGCTTCTTATTGTTGCTCGTATTTTCCTGGTACAATCGGTGGAGAATGGAGGAGGAGCAGAAGAAGAAGAAAGACGTGATTCGATTGGAGCGGGAGTCCGTAATTCCAATTCTGAAGCCGAAACTCATCATGATGTTGGCCAATCTCATTGGTATGGTCTTTCCTTCTCTTCTTACTATTTGCAGATCCCTTTCATTTTGCCTTAACCGTTTTCTAAAATCCCAATTTTCATTCATTTCCCTAAACGCCCTTTCTCTCCACAAATTCATGATTCAAACACAATATTTATCAAAGTTTTTACATCTTATTTACTGCTAATGCTACACTCTAATCTGATTTTGCCTTGGTATTGAACCCACACTGAATTTCTCATGAACTGAAATGGGCAGTAAGTACTAACAAGATAGCTTATGTTTTTCTAACGAATTTTGGGTTTGACATTGATTTCACACCTTTTTTTTTGGGCAACCTGCAACCCAATGCGGGCTTAAAAGCATTTCTATTCTTTCTTTCCCTCTAATAATAATAAAAAAAAAAGGAAAGAAAAAGAAAAAGAAAAAAATAAATTAAAAATATCATGAATAAAATGGAAAAATGTGTCCATTTGCCTAAATAAATAGACTCCCTTGTTGGATTATGACAGTGGTTTATTTGCTCAGTTCCCAATTGTGATTTCTGACCAAGTTCTGAAAGGGCCTAAATGCTTTGTCTTTGGCTTTTGATTCCCCCAGAACACAGTTCTGACCGGGCTGAATTTCTAAAGCTTTGCAAGTAGGAATGGCAATGGGCCGGGGCGGGGCCGGGGATCACCCTCCTCCTCCCCGATCCCCGATGGTGAAAATTTCCTGTCCCCGGCCCCGATCCCCAACGGGAGCCTATCACCATCCTCGTCCCCGCCCCCAACGGGGATCGGGTTTCTCCGACCCCAAAAATTCCCCAGCCCAAATCTGTTTCAACAACATCATCAACAACGAAAATTCTCCATTTCAAGTAACTTCTTCCCATGAAGTTCAATGACTTGTTTCTGCAAAATCAACATCTGGGTAAGACACAAAACCCCAATTGTTCATACATTCTACAACTATCTGGATTACAACATTCCATATCCCCCAACAAGCTCACTGAAAACAACTAGCTGTCTAGAGCATGCTTGTATTATTAACACATAGATCATGGCAGCTGCTGCTGCCCCCAACTTGACACCACACACACAGATACATATATACATACACACAGAGACATACACACATATATGTATACATAACACAGAGAGAGGACGACGGAGGAGATCGGCAGCGATGACAGAGGAGATCAACACAGATCTGAGTATCTGTGTCACAGAGAGAGAGAGAGAGAGAGAGAGAGGACGACGTTGGCGATCGGTCAAGATCAGCGGCAGCGACAATGGAGGGGATCAACACAGATTTGCGACGGAGAACAGAGGAGATCGGCAGTGATGGAGGAGTGGTCGTCGTGTGAGAGAGAGAGAGGAAGGCGAAACTCTAACCACCAGCGACAGTGAGGTATAGCGGTGAGGTGAGATAGAGAGAGAGCAAGAGCAGCAGACAGCTGTGTTTGGGTGTGAGTGACTCCGCCAAACCCTACACACACATATATTATATATATAAACAGGGGCAAAATAGTAATTTTACGTCGGGGGCAAACGGGGTGGGGATTGGGGTAGGGGTCGGGCCGGGCCCGGGGCTGAAACATTTATCCCCATCCCCGGCTTGAATATTATCGGGGATTCAATTTTTAATACCATTTTCGTCCCGTCGGGGGTATTTTTCGAGGAATAACCGCTCAATTCGGGGTCGGGAGATCGGGTCCCCGTCGGGTCGGGTTCCGATTGCCATCTCTATTTGCAAGAGAGTTAAATACACAATTCGTGCTTGGTATCTTCTGCAATTTGAGGATCTGATGGTATTATCATCTCTCACTTGTGTATCAAAATGAAGACTTTCCAACACTTCCTCAGGCATTTTTAGTCTGATGATGTTATTATTTTTTGTTTCACATTTCCATTCAATACCCATTGTGCTTGCAGCAATTGTTCTCCCTCTTTGATCCTGTCCACAGGACTGAGAAATTGAAGCAGCAGAACCTAACTCCGGATGAAATTGACATTCTTGAGCAGAATTTCCTGACATACTTATTTCAGGTATCATGGCTTCCACATCTTAATTAACAGGTTTGATGTCTAGAAATTTCCATTGGCGGTCCTCTACAGTCTACATGCATGCGTACATTGCTTGTTTAAAATTTGGTTCTTGTATATATTTATACACAACTACAATTATCCGAATTACAAGTACAAGTTCATTTTAATACACACAAAAAGAACTATAAGTTCCCTCCCTTCCCTAGAACATGCATGTATGAGGCAATATAGATGTTATAGCATCAATTGTGTGTGTTCCTGACTTAGAATCACTAAAATAACTGTTTCAAGTTTTGAGTCCATTTGTGCTAGTTTGACTATCAGCTGTAGTTTATCAAGGCAGCACTCTTGTTGGTTGTTTTAGCTACAGTTACATATTTAATTTTATTTATTTATTTATGATTATCTGCTGTAAAATTGTGATTCCTTGGCTTTGCCAGATATCATGAAAGCATCCTTTGTATTTATACTTTATCTTCTTCCTTGATAGCTTGTACCTATTACGGTACTCTGAAAAGGATGTAAGTTTCAAAATGTATATTAAGGAAACTGTAGAAATTTAATGTATAAAGAGAAAAAGAGAATTGTATTATTGATTGATGTTTGTAATTGTTGAATTATTGAATGCTACAATGATTCCTATATATAAAAGAGTAGGTGGTAGATGGAGTAGGTAAAGTGGAGGTGGTAGGTGGAGTAGGTGAAGTGGAAGTGGTAGTGGTGTAGTGGGTTTAGTGGAGTAGGTGAGGTGGTAGTGGTGTAGTGAGTTAGGTTTAGTGGAGTAGGTGAGGTGGTAGTGGTGTAGTGGGTTAGGTTATGTGGGACAAGTCTTACAAGGAAACCTACATTTTATTCTTTATTTGTCCATTCCACGAATCTGAAAACGACGTCAACTTCCCATTCACTCATAAATAGTTTTGATGAACTGTTTGCACCGTGTGACTTGCCACGTGACAGGCAACACGTCACCTCTTTAGATCCACCCCAAAAGACGTGTGGGCCCTATCCAAATTTGGACTCAAAGTTGGTCCAAAATAAGCCTATAAAGCCATATTTTTCCAACAGAAGGATCATCAGAACAAGGTTTGGATGGTGGAAGTGATACTAAAAGTGTGGTTGAGATGTGCGCTCCTTGTGATTGGGTTACTTGTCCTGTTTGTGGTAACACAGTTTGCGGCAACACAGTTTGCGGCGAAGATTACATGATTAATTCTCATTTGGGTTTGTATATCTACTTCTGATTTTTGTTTTTCAATAAATATGATTCATTATGTATATTGCTGTAGTGGATGTCATGTTTTAGTTGTTATTTGCTAATGTTTTTTTAAAAGATGTCATTGTATTAGTAGTAATTCAGAGCTAGTGGTCTTGATTGGAAAGTATGCTCTCAGTGATTGTATAGTCTGTCTATTGAGATGAACAAGCGGGCATATATGCGGGTATACCTGACAGGGATGAAACCAGGATTTCATTTGGTGGCCAAGAACATGTCTATTAAAAAATTTCAACTAATAATACAAATACCCCTTTTTCAACTTCTAGATAATTAGTGTTTTTGTGTGTGTGTGTGTGTGTGTGTGTTTTAAGTTATTTTTGCTTAATAAGCGGCAAGCAGAAGCATTACCAATTAGTTTGACACAACCTATCAAAAAAAAAAAAAAATTATAAGTAGCTCATATAAGCTAAACCAAATCCATGCGGTCTTAATTTAGGACATAAAATACTAAAAAAAAAATTTATTTGGGGGCCAAGAAACATGTCTATTAAAAAATTTCAACTAATAACCCTTTTCCAACTTCTAGATAATTAGTTGTTTTGTTTTGTTTTGTTTTTTTTCAACTTATTTGAGCTATCTATTTCTGCTTAATAGGCGGTAAGCAGAAGCAGTACCAAGAAGGCTGGCAACTATAAGTAGCTCATATAAGCTATAGCAAATCCATGTGGTCTTAATTTAGGTCATAAAATAGCACCAAAAAAATTATTTTTGTAACCCATATCAAATGATTTATCAATCAAAGTGGTACTCGATGACTATTCATGTCATAGAATCCATTTATGAAGCTGTACCAAACTTTTGAACAACTTTCCTTTTCAATCAAAGTATTTGTTAGAAAATTAACTTTTATCTTGTTTCAAATTTTAGTTTAACAACATTCATAGCTGGACATGCGTATTTGTAATCTTTGTAAAAACTTGAGTGTGAGCACAAGTCTAACCAACATGTAAAGTAAGTAGATCTTTCATTTTCTTGTTTTGACCAACCACAAACACCATTTAGAAATAGTTGGCAATTCCAAAAAATTTTAAGTTTTTGATATCTTACCCTCATAATGTCTTAGTTGCCCTCTCAAATCCTCTTCCTCCAGCTCTGTGAACTCTGGAGGGTAAAATTTGTCTAAAATCCTGGAAATGTGTTCAGTTTTGAAGGATTTGCACTTATCTCTAGGATCTAGTGCAAAGCTAAGAGTAAGCAACTCCATTGCATTCTCACTAAAATGTTATTTAATTCTTGCAATAAAATATATATTCTATATTGATGCTCTACTGTGATTTCGTCTTATTGATGGCAAGCCTAACCTTTTCTTGTAACATAATAAGTAGCTCATAATTAAAGTGTTTTCATTCCCAAGCTTCTAAGTTTGTATTGTGTTTCCTTTGTATTTTGCCTAGAGTCTTATGGATTCTTTCTTATGGTTTTCAACCTATGGTTTCAGACACATGCCTAGCAAGAGGAACCAAACATAAATTGAAGCAGCGCACACTTCTTCAGTTAAACTTCTGCTTACAATCAAAAGTTAAAACTCGCTCGAGTGATTCAGATCATGTAGGGGCTAATGTTGTTCCGAAGGGTCCTGATAACATATTATGTGATACCATTCACAAATTGGATGGCTTTGTTGATGGTGATGAAAAAGCCAGTATACAGTGCAAATCACTCTTAAATTCTGAGTCTATTTTGTGCAGTGATGGTTCAGTCGAAAACCTGATCAATGGTGACGTTATCAACCGCAGGGTTGGTTTGCCATCATTGCTTCCTAAGAATGAGATGCCCAAATATGAAATGGCTGAAACTATGGATGACATATCTGGAAGGGTCCTCGAAACTTTCATTGTTGGCTGTAAATTCAGTGATGATGTAGAGTTAAATCATGGGAAAAGTATCACACTTTTGAGGAATCCTGATAATATTAAGGATTGCAATGCTATCAAGGTTCCATCCTTTGCCTTTGCCATCCACTTGACTAAAGTTTTGTAGATTTATTCACCTTAAAAACATTGCATGGTCCTTTTGAGTCAGGTTCTTTCTGCAGATTCTGGATGCTTTAAAGTACTTGGTTTTCTCCCTCGACAGTTGGCTCAATATCTGTCTCCTTTAATGGATAACTACTGCTTGAGTTTTGAGGTATTGTAACTATTTCAACGAAATTAATATTAGTCATTGATTTGCTGCATATTTTTTTATTTAGATTATGCTTTCATCGCTCTCCCACCTTGTTATCTTGTAAGGTTCTGTTATCATTGTGAGCCGTATCCCTATTGTTCTTTTAACATTGTTTTTTGCTGCAAGATGTAGTATATGAAGTTCTATTAATTCTTTTGAGGGTCAATATAGTTACATGGGCCGTAATGTTGTGCAAAAAAAAAAAAAAATGGAAAGCCCATTGTCTATGAGACATGCCTGAGCTAGATACTATGATACATGGCATCAAGAAATTGTAGTCCATGAACTGAAGAACTTAAATTGAAAAGTTAGATCCTGTATCAGTTAGTAGAGAAATAAAATGACTTTGTATAACTAGATTAGTGAATACATTGAAAAAGAAAAGGTACCTATGATTGCTCATGTAAAAGCAATCCATAGCTACACAGCTAGAATTCTATCCATGTGTTTATGATATATAAGGTAGCTGGAGAGTGAAGAAGATGCTAAGGAAAAGACAAGCTCCTTAAGTGGTTATGAGTGTTTTCAATCAAAGAATACACATGATTTCAAGCAAATCAAAAGAAAATAGAATGTTTTTACATGGTCATCTTCTGGATAAAATAAATCTGACTCACAACTAGTATCTGAAGATTCTTAGTTATTCCCTCTTTCTGCTCACTTTTTCTCTCATCCTTTGTGTGTGTGTGTGTGTGTGTGTTTTCATTTGAATGTTGTTTGCCTCACATGAACTTTTACTTGATTTGGTTGTTTCCAGACATTTTTCTACAATACCAAGATGCATTAGGGTTCTATCCCACTTGAAGTTACACTAGTTATATATTTTTCCTGAACAACTGAGTGTAACAAATACTTTTGTATATGTGTGTGAGTCACATCTGTAATCATTTTTACGCACTCAGGGATCATCTTGTAATTGTCTTCTTTGTAAACCCTAAATCTTCATTTATAAATAAGGGGTGATATCTCATCATACCCTAAGCTGGTTACCCAAGCTTCAACTATGACATGCTAAAATTTGTGTGCACCTATTTTATGGTCATCTTCTGGATAAAATAAATCTGACTCACAACTAGTATTTGAAGATTCTTAGTTATTCCCTCTTTCTGCTCACTTTTTCTCTCGTCCTTTGTGTGTGTGTGTGTGTGTTTTCATTTGAATGTCATTTGCCTCACATGAACTTTTACTTAATTTGGTTGTTTCCAGACATCTTTTCTACAATACCAAGATGCATTAGGGTTCTATCCCACTTGAAGCTACACTAGTTATATTTTTTTCCTGAACAACTGAGTGTAACAAATACTTTTATATGTGTGTGAGTTACAACTGTATGGTCAACATCATTTCTGAAGGAAACTATGACATGCCAAAATTTGTGTGTACCTATTTTATGGTTGTATTATTTTTCCACAGGTCTGTAGCTTTTCTGTAAAACTCAGTTTTCTCATTTTTATTGATCAAATACTCATAAGTTATTCTTAATCTCAAATATATTTATTTTTCTCATTTGTAAATTACTGATGGCTAGCTTTATGAAACATAAAAGTTTTTACGCAAACAGGTTGTTTGGACAAGGTTTTCTTTTTACTCTTATTCTTCTTTGTTTTTGTTTTTTGTGATGTCTGAAGTTGTATTTATTCATTGAAATCCATAAGTTTGAGGTCTAATCATAGGGATATCTTAAGGTTTCTGAATACAGGAACCTTTGTTGTTTGTTATTTTTTTTTTAAAAATAGTTAGTGAGTGCACATTTCTGCAACCTGCACATGTTCCAAAATTTGTGTATCTTGTGGTGACCCAAGATTCAAGAGCCAAGACTCCTTAGACTTTGGGCCAACATGGATGAGGGCAAAGGTGCAAGTCTATGTACTTTGTCTGACATCGCTTGGTGAAGTGTGTGAAGTGTTGAGCTCTGTACTTTCATTGCGCAATGTGTTTTAAAGCTATACTGCCCTAGCTCGAAGAGGACAATATTATATGATGTTGGGCCAAGGTGGTAAAAATGGTTTTAGAGCTAGCACCACCCAAAAATGTGGGACAGGTCCTACATGAGGACGTGTGGCCCTAAGGGGGGTGGGTTGTGGTGATCCAAGATCTCAGAGCCAAGACTCATGAGGCTTGGGGCCAAGATGGATGAGTTGAGGTGAAGGTACCAAGTCCATGTACTTTGTTGCACATTGCTAGGTGAAGTGTGTGAAATTTCCTTGTGAGTGATAGTTTTTTACCATTATTGTACAATAATGTGTTAAAAAGCCTTGTGGGCCTAGCTTAAAGCGGACAACGTGCAATGTGGGGCCTGGGCATTACATACCTACACCTTGTTAAGTTCTAATAATTAAGTTCAAGTGAAAATCTATTTTCTAATTGTAAATCCAGCTCAAAATGTCATATATAGTATTCATTATGATGAAAAACCGAGAACCAGACATTATTAGATTTTTGCTATTTTTTTGGATCACTAGATTTTTTGTTCATGATATTTACCTTGTGTTTGCCTTGCAGGGCTGCATAACTTCCGTTCCAAAACATTCTCTTGATGTTGTCCCAATTCAAATCATATGTCAAAATGAGATATTTTTTGGTGAAAAGGAATATGACAGTATTCAGGTTGTTAAATCTTTGTGGAAAAATGCTTTCCATGTAGCTGAATCTGCAAAGTCTCATCCACCGACCATGACAAAATATCAGCAGAACTTTTCTCTATTGATACAAGAGGTTTTAAGGAGCTATCCTCATCTTCTCAACTACGCTGGAAAGATTTTCTTGGGTACTGGTTTCTTTAGTTGATGTCATTATTTGTAATCTTTCTAACAAATTATCAACTTACAATGATGTTAATACGTTTTCTGTTGACAGAAACTTTAACTTCACGTTCAGATGATAGCCAGAGACTTTTTGTTCGGCTGTATACAAGAAAAGGTTTATATTACTGTACAGTTTTCCTGTTCTGTTGTTTGGTTGTCTAGTTAAATATATCATGTTCGTAAGTTATCCATTCTCACTTCTTAGCAATTTTATAGAAAGAGAAATAACTTGAGACATTTTGCTTCTATTGTGGCTCACTCATGTGATGAAGCTTGTGTATTGTCATGGTTTTCCATTTATATCACCCTGATATCATACAGGATTGTTTACAAAATCTGAGAAAATTTGGAATATTCATTTATGGTAGGATGCTTACGATTTACAGATGTGACAAACTAATTCTAAGTTCATGCAGACTAAAGAAGTATTGAAAACTTAGAAACATTTATGTTTATATTACCAAGACATTTTTAATTTATAGGAGCAACTATGTGATATTTCACCTCATATATTTATATATCAGAAGTAACAAAGTAATTTGAAGTTTCACCCATATCTAAGCTAGCAATTAGCCATCCGATAAAGTTATTCAAGTTCAACTTAACTATGTTTTGAAACGTGTTACCATTACAATTCGTGTTACGTGGACTTTTTTTATTTCCCCCATAGCACTCTTGTGATGTGTCCACCGAATATAATGAGGGTAAGGTTGTGGGATATGTGTCTGACACATGTACCCAATTTAGACACTTGGATGCTCTAATTTATATGATGTTTGAAGAATAAAAATTCACATTTGCTAGTAAAGAAATATTTCTTGCCTCATACAATTGATGAGAGAAATTTCATATCTTTCTTATATTTTATTTAATGTCAAGTACATTTCTAAATAATTTGCATTATCTTATCTAAGAATATTCTACACTATGCAAAATTAGAAGTGTTCAGGACATGTATCCATTGGATACGTATTGCGATATCCTAAGTCTTATGTTTAGTAAGGTTTGATGCTTGGGTTTATTTGTTTCGTACTAAAAGTTTTTTAAGACATTTCACCAAATAGTGAGTACTCAAATTGACAATAAGATTAATATCCTTCATAGTGACGGCGGGACAGAATACATGGATGGTGCCTTTTGCACCTATGTTGATGGTTCATACTATGGCTGCAGATGAACTGAGTCAAGCTGAGTTCTAAAGGATTCCAAGCTTGGCCTGGTTCATTTGGATGGTGTATTTGAACACCTTGTTCTTGTGTAAAATCTATTCTGGTTGCACCTAGCTTGCTTTAGTTTATTAGAGCTTGGGCTACAATTTGATGCTGAAGTTAATCACAATAACGAACCGTACAGGGCTTTCAATTGCTTTCAATTGCTGACGTACTTTACTAGGGAGATATTTTTTTTTTTTAAGGAAGGGACTTTTCATTCAATTCCATTTGTTTCCATTAAAATATATATATTTTTTCGGAGGCATCATTCAGACCTAAAATTTGTTACTTCACATACTTTTTCACCACTTAGCTAAGGGCCAGGGCCAAGAGGCAATTTAACAAGCACTGCAAAATTACTCTACATAGAGTGAAGACCAGCATGGTCTTGATTTCAGTCACAATCAATGGAACGAATCAAAGATGGAAAAAATGATAAGAGAGATTTGTTAGAATATATATTAGATTTATTCTGATTGTTGTTTCTTTATTTAGATTATTGTGATTCCTTTAATTAGTGCCTTAGTTCCTTTGTAATAGTTTTTTTATTGATTAATATAAAAGAGAGTGAGATCGTAATCATCCCTCAACTTTGTCTTTCATCAAACAAACATGGTATTAGAGCCTTAGGGTTCGTTTCTTACCTCTCATCACTGGACGTCAACACCCATCATCACCAAACACCAACCGATAGCACCAATCATCACTCTACAACATTCGGAGGTCACCTATCACCATTCAACTCCACCAAGGTGAGTTTCGGGCCTCTATCATGCCCAGTTAGGGGTTAGGAACCAGCCCTGGTCCTCTTCATGTCTCACCCAATTCTTGATCCTCATCGTTATTGACCCATACTCTTTCAGTCTTCATTGTGATACACTCATCCACCCCTGGAGTGACTAGTGACCTCAACTGGCCCATCTGGAGTGACCTGCGACACCACCTAACTCCTTAGGTCTGCCTCTCGACTTCACCTAGTCCCACATGCTTCTTCGATTAGGCCGATGGTGCGAGTAAACCATCTGCTCTTTTTTCAGTTAGAAGAATCCTTTTTTGTTTGTTGAGTTTCTTCCGAGCACTATTTTGATTGAAGGTTTCTCTTCTCTATTTGTTTCTTATTTTTCTGGGTCAATTTATGGGCCCTAATACTTAGCTTTGATTGATTTTGCCCATGGCCTGTGATTGATATTGCTTGGTCCAGTTGATTTCAGTTCATTCCATCTTTTAATCACTGTGATTAGTGCAGAATTTTTTGGTTGTGATAGTAGAGTATAAATGACTAACTTGTCTAGTGAATCTACCACTACTTCTCACCCATCTAAAGGGGAGAGTCCCATTATGACTACTACATCTGAGAACCAAAATCCTAGCCTCAAAATCATCACCTCTTTATTTAATGGTCAGAATTACCTTACGTGATCACAGTCTCTAACATGTTTCTTGAAGAGTAAGGGGAAGATGGGTTATATTGATGGGCGAGTCCAAGCATCAGGAACCACTGATCCTAGTTATGACCAATGGGAGATTACCAACTCCTTGATTATAGGATGACTCATACATTCCATGGTCTTGGATATTGGTGAGGGGTACTTGTCCATAGAGACTACTCAGGATATTTGGGATATTGTGGCCACTGCCTAGACTGGCCTGATGTAGAGGACATGGATCTAATTCCTGTGCCCATCAATCTAGTGCAGTTGACTCACATGACTCTGCTTCGGGTGTTCAGTTGGGTGCTCTGGGTGTTCAGACTTTTGATGCTATATTTAATATGTATACTTCTAAGCTTGAGGATGTTTTGCGTCACTTGCTAGATTGCCGATCTTCCACTACTCCTACAGGTGCATCTTTGTTTTCGTTTACTCACACAGTTAACTTAGCCTCTTCTCCTAGTGCTTTTCTGTCCCATAAGTCTTTACCATGGATTATTGATTTTGGTGCCTTAGATCATATGTTTGGGTCATCTAATCTTTTCTCGGACCATAAGCCCGCTTCTGGTCAAGACAAAGTTAGGATTGCAGATGGTACTATTTCTTCTATTTTTGGGAAAGGTTTAATCCGTGCCACTCCTTTACCTTTGTCATCTGTTTTACATGTTCTAAACTTCTTTGTTAATCTTTTATCATTGAGTTGTCTTACTCGGGATTTGAACTGTAGTGTGACTTTTTTCCTTAATCATTGTGTGTTTCAGGACCTTATCACGAGGAGGACGATAAGTAGTGGTAGAATGGAACATGGTCTCTATATTTTGGATCAGACAGACAAGCTGACTCATCATGCCTTCTAGGTTCCAACCACCAAGGATGACTTATGGCTGTGACATCGGCATTTTGGACATCCATCTTTTTTATTACTTAGGCATTTATTTCCCTCTGTTTTTACTAAAATAATGTTTCTGAGTTTCATTGTGAGTCGTGTCAACTTGACAAACAACATAGCTTTTTTTGCTCTGAGTCTTAATAAAAGTTTAGTACCTTTTTCCTTAATACATTTTGATATTTGGGGTCCATCTCGTGTTGTATCTTTGAAAGGTCGAAGATGGTTTGCTACTTTTATAGATGACTTTTTTCGTACTACTTGGGTGTATCTCATGAAAACAAGAGCGAGGTTTTTTCTGTGTTTCAAAATTTTCATAAAATGATTGGTACTCAATTTGGTGCAGTTGTAAAAATCTTACGTTTTGATAACGGGGTGAATATATTACTTTAAGGTTAGCAAGATATTTTTTCACACATGACATTGTCCATCAAACTTCTTGCACCAACACCTCTTAGCAAAATGGGGTTGCCCAACATAAGAATCGTCATCTTCTTGATATAGCTCGTTACATGTGTTTCGTTATGGGTGTACCTTGATCCTACTGGGGCAAGGCTGTTCTCACCCCTGCATATCTATTAATCGTCTTCCTATCCAAGTGTTGCAAAAACAAGCTCCGCTCCAGGTTCTCTCAGGTTCCGAGTCTCTATTTTCCATTTCTCCTGAGATCTTTGGTTGTGTCTGTTTTATCCATAATCATTCCCTACTCAGGATAAGTTGAATTCTCGCTCTCTGAAGTGTGTTTTCCTGGGGTACTCACCAACTCAAAAGGGATATAAGTGTTATCACCCTCCATCTCGTAAGTGGTTTGCCTCAATGGGTGTCACCTTCTTTGTATCCCAGTCTTACTTCTTGTCCTGTTAGGTGTCACAGTCATCCCTTCAGGGGGAGTCTTGGTAAGAAGAGATTCCTGTTGCCCCTGGATCATTACCAATTGAGGAGATTGTCCAGGGTGAACCAAATGTTACTAGCAATACAGAATCTGATGTCATCAAGGACATGGAAGGGCAAGTCTGTCAAGGACAAAGAAAGATAGAAAGTTACTTGGATGCAAGAGACCATTTTTGATCAGCCACTACTGTCTTCTTCTCCTGATGAGAGTCCAGGTAACCTTCATGTTTCCCTTGAGTCCACTAATATTATTATTCCTGAGCCTATTGATCTTGATGTACTTATTGCGAAACGAAAGGGTGTAAGATCTTGTACTCATCACTCTATCTCTAACTTTGTATCCTTCTCTTATTTGTCTCTCTCATATAAAGTTTGTGTCAAAAATTTCCTCTATTAGTATACCTAATCATTTTCAGGATGCTCTTATCTCTGAGTGGAAACTTGTCATGGTAGAGAAAATGAAAGTACTTCGTAAGAATGGCACTTGGGATTTGACTGAATTACCTAGGGAAAAATGAACTGTGGGATGCAAATGGGTGTGTACTGTAAAGCACAAGGCAGATGATTCAATTGAGCGGTATAAGGCTCGACTTGTGGCAAAGGGTTTTACTTAGACCTATGGGGGTAGACGACCAAGAGACATTTGCTCCAGTTGTAAAGATGAATTCAGTTAGAGTTCTTCTCTCTCTAGCAGCTAATTTGGATTGGCCACTTCATCAGTTTGATGTGAAGAATGCTTTCCTGCATGGTGACCTGAAGAAGAGGTGTATATGGACATTCCTCTTGGCTTTGAAACTCTTCAAACTAAAGGGAAGGTGTGTCGACTTCGAAAATCATTATATGGCCTCAAATAGTCCCCTAGGGCTTGGTTTGAGAGGTTTACTCAGCCGATGCTGAAATATAGCTTCAAACAGAGTTAGACTGATCATATTCTGTTTGTTAAACACTCCTCTCATTGTAAGACTACATCTCTCATTGTACATGTGGATGACATAGTGCTTACAGGAGATGATGTTGAAGAAATTCCTTTGTTGAAGAAGCATTTGGCAAGCGAGTTTGAAATCAAAGACTTGGGGAACTTGAAGTACTTTCTGGGGATTAAAGTGGCTAGATCCAAAGATGGGATTTTCATCTATCAGAAAAAATATGTCCTTAACCTGTTAAAGGAAACATGGATGCTTAGAAGCAAAGCCTGTGACACACCAGTGGAATCCAATTTAGTGATGATAGTAGGGGAGCAGCCGTTGATAGGGGGAGTTATCAGAATCTAGTGGATAAACTCATTTGCTTATCACATTCTCATCTAGCTAGTGCTATTGCTATTGCTGTTAATGTGATTAGCCAGTTCATATATGCTCCTCATGAAATACACTTGGATGCAGTTATGAGAATTTTGAGATACTTGAAATCTTCTCCTGGAAAAAGTCTTTATTTTTCTAAATATGATCATCTTAATGGGGAAGCTTATGCAAATGTTGATTGGGCAGGCTTAATAACTGATAGGAGGTTAACTTCGGGGTATTGCACTTTTGTTGGAAGTAATTTGGTTACTTGGAGAAGTAAGAAACATAATGTGGTTGTCAGGTCTAATGTAGAAGCTGAGTTTAGAGTTATGGCACAAGGTGTGTGTGAGCTCTTATGGATCAAATTATTTCGTGATCTGGGAATTGGCCAAACAGATTCCATACGACGATATTATGATAATAAGGCTACTATCAACATAGCTCACAATCCGATTCAACATGATAGGACAAAGTATGTTGAGATTGATTGTCACTTCATCAAAGAGAAGCTCACTAGTGGCACAACATGTACTCTATTTGTGAAATCTGGTAAACAACTTACAGATATCCTCACCAAGGGAGTTGGAAGTAAACCTTTTCATGATATTCTTGACAAGCTGGGCATGAGAGATATCATATCTTTGCACTAGCTTGAGAGGGATTGTGAGAATATATGTTAGAGTTATTCTTATTGTTGTTTCCTTATTTAGATTATTGTGATTCCCTTAATTAGTGCCTTAGTTCCTTTGCAACAGTTTTTTGATTGATTAATATAAAAGGGAGTGAGATCATAATCGTCCCTCAAGTTTGTCTTTCATATTCTTGTGCTAACCTTAGCAAACTTGCACTTGTTGTACCATGTTGTGACTTCATGAGACAATCCAAGATGAACTGGAGTTGCTCAAAGTCGGTTAGTTTTTACAAGAACTATAAAATGGAAAAAAACTGGCTATTTAGCTAAGAGTGAACTGTGCATGAGCTGTTTAGTTTATTTTTCATGCTGAATTCTTCATTTGTTCTATATGCTTGGAAGTGGTCCAAATGTTCATGCACCAGCATAATCCAAACATAATCTGAGAGTTATCTCTCATTCTGAGTTATGTAGTGGTTGTTTTCTCACTTCAGGGCCATGGTTTCGGATTTCTAATATTTTCTACCCCGAAATATCTGATTGCAACCAAGCATTCAAGGAACTCTCTGGTAATTCAATACTATTTCTTAATTATACATCTAATCTCTTATCTTGCCAAAATTTCAAGTTGGCTATGTTTGATAGGAACTTCACCTTTAACAGAAAATTCATTTATCTTGTCATAATACAGCAATGGGCTATATTCGTTCTGTTGGGTCCATCAGTGACCTACGGGATAATGACTTGAAGGAGGTTCTAACTGTGCTTACTGTTTCTGAGCTACGTGAAATTTTGTGTAAGTTTAAAAAGGTTTGCATTTGTTAAACATATCTAACCCTGGAATTACAGTTAAATTGGTTTCTATTATGTATGTATTCATGTTTATGTTATTGGTTTGACTATTGAATTATTATGCTTAGAAGATTAACTTCACAACCAGTATTACATCACCCCTTGGATTTGTCCTCTTTGAGATGAATGTGTGCATTAGCGACATTTGATTATCTGTTCTTTCGAAAAAGTGAGTATTTTATTACCAGTATGTTTAGACAAATGTTCATCATTTTGTTATTGCCTAGAACTGTGTAATGTAGTTTCTTGATAATTTTCTTGATGGAATGAATATTGTCATGGTTTATTTCTGTCTGTTGAGTTTGGACGATTTGGCCCATTTTTCAAGCAAGCATTCACAACCGTTGAACTTCATTATTAGTAACAGATGTGGTTTACTCAGCAGGTATGAGAGAAACCTGTTGACCCGCATTGACTTGCTCCTCACCCCCTCTTTTCATGGTCAGATGACTGGATGGAGCAGAAGGCCAGTCACTGGACACCCAAAGCCACTGGCAACCGAGCTGTTCTCATCCTATTCGCCACCGACTGGCCTTACATATGCATCAATAACTTGATCACCTCTTTCTGTTCTTCTCTTTTTCATGTTTACTGTTTTATTTTGTCTGTTATGTATCTCTGTTGCCTCTTTTTTTGTTTTTTTTTGTTTTTTCATTTCCTATCTCTCCCTTGATCAGATTCTTCTTATTTTGGTACCAAAAAGTTTAATGCTCTGTTTGGTTGAGTTTTCTGAATAAGAAAGTTCTAAAACTAGGTTGGTCAAAAAATAGAAAACACATTATTTTCATATGGCTTTTTGTTGATTATACAAATTTGAAAATATCCTTTTTTTTGTGTTTATTTTTGTCAAACTAGTTTATAATTTTTTAAAAAATTCAGAAAACTAAGTTCTGAAAACTCAACTGTACAGAGCCTAGATTTTTTTGGTGGTTTCAACCATTAAAAAAGTGAAATGTTGTTAACAGTTTTAAATCTTGAATTTTAGATTTTTCCATTAAAACTAACTGTGTTTGATGAAATTCCACAGTAGACCGGGATATACTTTTATTAATTCAATCTCTAGTCCACTTGTGCGATAGGAAAACTGTATGTCTGCTGGTTATGATTTCCTATCCTATTCCGAGAAATCCCATCTCATCCAGCTAACCTAATGTGACCAAAAGAGAATTTTTGTCTTCAAGTTGTTTTTAATGCACACATGTACTCACTGGAGCATTATGGGTGGTTCCTTCTAAATTTGATTGATTCCATAGTTTATGCTCCTAAAGTGTTGCACTGGCCTCTGATGACTACACAGTACAAGACTACTGTGTGGACAGATATGGGTCAAACATTTCTTGAAGGCTGCACTCTCTCACAAAGGGTTGGGACACTCTTTGAAATGTAGTTGTAAAGCTGTTAGAGCAGTGTTATGAAAGGCGCAAGGCTCGTCCAGGTGCAAGACCAATATCTTGCACATGATTAGGCGACACGATTTGAAGGAAGCACGCCTAGGGCGTGCAACTGGGTGAGGTTGTGCGCCTGATGGGCTTTGTTTTTTTGTTGAGATTTGACCATTGATTTAAGTTAATATATGGTGTAGCCACAAGGGATTACAACTCTTAATTACACAAACCATTACAGAGTACATTGAACCTGATTTTCATGATAGAAAACCCTAACTAGGCGCTGAGCAGTTTTTTCAGTGACTTTTTTTTTTTGTTTTTCGCCCTATCGTGATTGGTGCCGAATTTACTCTGTATATTAAGAGTTGTAATCCCCCTGCACCATACTTAAATCAATTGTCAGATCTCAAAACAAAAACAAAGCAATGTAAAATATAAACAGAGCCCATCAAGCGCATATATTGCGTTTCACCCAGCCACTTCCTTCAGATTGTGTTCCATGGGCAAGGTGTTGGTCTTGTGCTTGGATGTGACTTGTACCTAGGCGTGCCTTTTATAACGCTGCTAAGGATCAAGTAATATAAAAAAGAAAGTTAAATCTGAAGTAAAACTTTTAAGTAGTATAGTAATATGTTAGCATGAAATGATTTATGCTTGTGACTGCTTTTAATTGTCTGGTTACTTTTGAGAAATTGCTTCGCTGGCATCACTTTCCTGAGCTTGATGCAGGCTTTATGGAGCTTGATGAGGCAGACCTTAGCTAGACTGCTTGCTAAATTCCTGCATCCCACCTATTTTTTGACCATGTTAATTTTAAACAGGAGTATCCCTTCAAAGCTAATGGGAGAATTAGGCAGACAGTACGGATTGTCATTTTGTTGTATTAACTAAATTTTTGTGGAGTATAATTTCATTTTTGTTGAAATATGTTTCTACAGTACCTGTCCCTATTATAACATTGAGTCCTCATTCTAGGCAAACATATGTTTATTGGAGGACTAACAATGTTGCTTTAAGACAAGTCTGGTCTCCGCCACTAGACTTCCTGAGTAAAAAAAATTACTTTTAGCAATAGATAAAATTGTAATTTTCTTTTTCTTTAACTTTCTAGTCATGAATTTGTGTTGTTATTTAAAAGCACTCATGGTTTGTACTTTTTAGTTTGTCATTTGATAAGTTTTTAACTTTTCTTTTCTTTGGCTTGTACTCTTTGTTTCCTTTTCCACCCCACTTCTGTTGAGTCATCAGAAATGCAATTTTGGTTCAAGAAAGCAAGATTTTATTACATCACTTCTTTCTTCATATGCGGATGGATTATGGTATACAAGATTTTCTTTTCCGATTTATTGAGTTTGTGAATTGATAGGGCATGTCAAGTTCTGCATTTACTGTTTTTGGTTTTCATTTGTTGATTATGCAGCCCAGTCCTACCAAATGTGGTTTTGGAGAAAACAGGAACATGTATTCAGATATCTTCATCAGCTGAATCCCTTATTTGGCGTGCTGAGGTGATTGATCAGAACTTTGTGACAAGTTGGAATCCAGTATATAATTTTACTTCTGAAAAATCACCCATGAATTTTGTTGCTTCATACAGAGGCTTTTCTTCCTGACTGGAGAACAGGATTTGTCAGCATTTTTACTTGTGGATTTGGGGATTGTCAAGTATCCAAATTACAATTGTATAATCTCAAACCAAATTTTCTCAAGCCGCAATGATTTGCTTGCCTATGAAGAGGTATTGACAAATTTTTATATAAAAAACTACACCCAGTTTAGTCCCCATTTGATGTATTGACATATTTCTATCTGGAATATTATTGTTGCCTGTACTGATTGTAACATTTACCTGTGCAGGCCATAGAAGTGGCACAAATAATGGATCAGTCTATTGATGAAAATAACAATGAATCGGTTTTAAGATGCATAGAGTTATCTGGTTCCCGTATATCCAACTCTTCTAGTAGAGCAACTCAATCATCCACTTCTGAATCACTGGTGACATGTTTTTCATGCTTTTCAGCTTTGTGGGTCTACTCAAAGGTGGTTTTGCTAGGTGTCTCTTTTCTTGAGTTTGAGCAAAGGTTAGAAGTATGCAGTGGTTTATTACTTTTTTTTAATGCTTTTATTCTAGACAATGACAAGATCTTTCGTGTGACATTTTTCCTTCTGCTTTTTCTGTTTTCAAATTCTATTTTTCTTTAGTTTCGCTTGAATAATAGTGGCTTCCTTTTTAATCATTTTTATTGGCTTCATTTTCGTCTCAGCCAATTAGAACTAGGATATTTTCTATGGACAGTCATTGGTGCACATTAATATGTAATAAAAGTTAAATAGATGGAGAATGGGACTAAAAAATTCAGTGCGTGTAATTCCTTTCCCCTGTAGGCTCCACATGCACACGCACACACACACACATACAAACACACACACACACACACACAAAAGAAGGTAAAAAAAAGAAAAAAGAAGATAATTGCTTACAGTTGGTAGGTTTCTATATCTGCTTAAGTTGTCAGTTGCCCAACTTTGAAACTGCTGCATGTTTGTCCTTTGCTGCTGCTTTTTTTTGATTCATGTCCTTTGCTGTTGCTGATCCTAAATGTGAGATGCAATTGATGAGGAAAAAAGCGGAAGAGAGCAATAGACAGAAGCATTAGAAAACAAATTTTCACTAATCTCAAATTTATCATTAATTAAAAATTGTAGGGAAGGAAGAAGAGAAGAGAAGAGTAGAGAAGGAAGAATGTAAGACAAAATAGGGGATTTTTGTATGAGATAATGACCTCATCCAACACCCATGTATTTAACATTTGATGGAAATAATAAGTGAAGAGAGTAAAACAAAATAGGGTTTTTGGTTTGAGATAATGAACTCATACCATCATCCATGTACTTATATTTAATAATCGCATAAATTTCATTGTACCTTTATCTCAAAGAACAATAATAAAATTAGCAAGATAACAAAAACAGGCACATAGGACAAGGAAATTTCAATAGGAATAGTATTGAACTGTTTGCCTCACACATGCTGCATTATTGCATCACTACACTATGGTTGTGTTTGGAGCATGGATTTGAGTAGAGATTTGGAAAGGGAAACGGAAAGGGAAAAGGAAAAGGAAAAGGAAAAGGTAGGTGAAATGTGAAAGGAATATACCTACATTTCACACACCTTTTCCTTTATCCCTTCCCTTTCCAATCCCTACTCGAATCCATACTCCAAACATAGCCTATATGTTGACTAAAATTATTCTTGAAATGACATCACTGTGTTATTGGCAGTAATCAAGGGTGTTGGGAAAGGGTAAAGGTACGTGAAATGTGAAAGAAATATACCTACATTTCACATATCTTTTCCCTTTCCCTTTCCCTTTCCCTTTCCCTTTCCTTTCCAAATTCCTACTCAAATCCATACTCCAAACACAGCCTATGTGTTGACTAATTATCGTTGAAATGACATCACTGTGTCTTTGGACCTTAAACTTTGTTTGGGAATAAAATTTAAAAAATAGATATTAAAACTTTTAATTCACACTTCTTTCCCAACATAATAGAATTGGGAAAATGATTTTGTCCTTGTTTAATATGATAAAATATTAATGTATTTGTAACTTAAAAAATGAAATTGTTATTCATGTATATATAAAAATGTAAATTTGGTTGTTATTGCATCACCACTGTGTCCCTGTCTAGATTTTTTGAAAATTACCATATTCAATAAAACCCTAGGAAGCCAATCACTTCTCTTTTTTCTCTTCCATTTTTATGATAACGACAAAAGCTTAAGGCGCCAATAATAAAAAAGAAAACCTAATGAACAAAGGAGATTGCAGTCGATTCTAATAATCTGCTAGATATTAATGAGGGTTCTATTCTTTGCATCCAACTTGTTGCTTGTTAAATAGTCTCTGGACTGGATAATTGTTTACCGTTCTCAGGTACAACGATGCAATTAATTTATTGAAGCAGCTGCTAATTAATTTTGTGTCTGATGGAAGAAGAGGATATTGGACTTTGAGGTTGTCAATTGATTTGGAGCATCTGGGTTGTCTCAATGAGAGCCTTTTGGTTGCTGAAGATGGGTTGCTAGATCCATGTGCTCGTGCTGGTTCCAGAACAGCATTGCAAAGGCGGGTTTTGCGTTTGGGAAAACCGCCAAGGAGTTTTTCTGAGTCTGTCAAGAGGAAGATCACTGAGGTGATTGCGAATTTGATTTTTTAAGGGTTGTGTTTTTAAGCTTTCTCGTGCTGATTAAATTTGAGTCGTCTTATGTCTATGGGTTTTATCAGGGGTGATGTGCAAACATGAATGCTTATCTAATTGCAGCTCTGATTAGAAGCAGTAACAGATGCAGCACAATGGGAAATTCCATTTCAGAACTTTAGAGACCCACTTGTAACCCAATAGATTTCTAAATATAATAATTGAATTTCTCATTTTCTTCTAGCTGGAGGGGAGCCTTTTTTTTTTTTAATATTTGAAATTTATTTCTTTGACTTGTTTTATTTTTTATTGGACAGATTTGGACTAAATGTTTCCCAAATTTTATTATTGTATTTTTCTAATTATCATGTAGGTAATGGATAAGAGCAATTTCAAGATAGCCACTGATGATGAGATCGAAGTTGCACAGTCAGGGCAGTATCTTCTAAATCTTCCTATAACAGTTGATGAATCTAAGGTTTGTAATAGCTTGTGTGTTTAAAGTGAAAACGGACATCTGAGTTCTTTGGATATGCTTGTTTGCACGCGCGCGCGCGTGCGCACACACATATTAATGTCTAATATCAATTCTGTTTTTTTGAATGTAGCTTGACAAGAAGCTTTTGACAAGGTATTTTGTAGAGCATCCTCGTGAAGATCTTCCGGACTTTGCCGATAAGGTATTGATATATATGTAGCTTCCCTTGTAGATTCTGTTGTTATATCGCTGTTATTGAGTTGTAGGTGGCTTTGAATCCCTCTCAATTATTGTTAAAGGAGATAAAGGAGAATTCTCCCACTCTGATGGAGCCCTGAAACCTGAGGCTTTGTTGAAGATCAGCTAGATGGAATTACAAACGAAATCATTCAAATATTTCCTTTAGCTGGTTAGAAAATAAATTCTTCAACTGTTCAATCACTAATCAACTTGTACCCCATCATTGTGTTATTGTATGTGAAGGACCACGTTTTGAGGAGTCTATAGCCCTATTAAGTAGTAAAAATTTCCCTCCATTGTATCTTTCATTCTGGTCTCTCTCTCTCCCTCCACCCCCCGTGAGAAAAATGATACATAACAATGTTAGACTCGGGAATAGATTCATTTTTCTTGGTGCTTTTCCAATCCAGTGGATGTTTTCCTTGATTAAATTTTGTGCGCTCATTACATTATGGAGAATATCATTAAAAAGGTAATTTTGTAAATGTTTTTGTAGTGTTACAGGTTAATTATGATGTATAATTTGATGTTTTTGTAGTGTTACAAGTTTTTTTTTTTTGAAACATCAACAATAAATTTTATTAAGAAAAGCAATAGAAAAGAGAGGATATATGTAGTGTTACAAGTTAATTAGGATATATAATTTGATTAGTTGTTTCTAACGGCCAAGATATATCTTTTAATTTCCAGTTAACAAAAAAACTATAGATAATTTAACCATCTTAATTATCTTAGAATATGATTCCATCAAAAAAAAAAAAAAAAAAAATTGTAGAATATGAGGTTATTTTATTTTCCAGTTAAAACTTCAGAATCTCAATTGTTGAACGATGTTACACATACCTTGACAATGGCTCCGTTTGGTGTAGCTGTTAAAATAACTTATAGATTATAGATTATGACTTTAATCAGAAGTTGTTAATCTGTTTGGTGTAGTTATTGGATTATAGATTTAAGTTACTGAGTAGTGTTTGTTAAATAAGCTGTGAAATAGCTTTTTTAATTAATTTTTATTTTTTGTTTGTCTACATTTCTCATAAAAAAAAAATAATAATAATCTATAGTCCATTTGAGTCTTTTTCTATTTTTAAAAAAATAAAAAATAAAAAAATTTAAGAGGATAACCATAAATTAACATGTCCACAGCAAAAGCTGATAATCAGAAGCAAGGGGTGAGCAGCTTCTCAGAATCAGCTTTTTTGAGTTAAAATAAGTTGTTAGAATCAGAAGTTGTTTGAAATAAGTTTAACCAAACAGTCCAAAATAACTTTTTCAAAGCTAAAAGGCATAAATTAGCTCTGAAAAGCTGAAACAAACACTTCCAATATGACTCAACAAGCTTGTGATGATGGCTTTTATCTGATTTTAATAAATTTGACATTAGTTATATGGTTGTTGTGATAGAATGGCAGAGCAGATGTGTGCTATGAAGCATGGACACAGACACGCATACGGACACGGACACGGGACGCGGCAATTTTTAAAAAATGGGGACACGGACACGGACACGGCAGGGGAAACGTTAAATGGCCATAACACTGATGACTACATCAACCTCAAGGATCAGGTCAAGACCCTAATACGTCAAGGGCGTCTCAGCCAGTTCACGGACACCCACCCACAACAGAGGCAAAGAACCGAGCCCCTCAGAAACAATTGCTGGCGCACCCCACCCCAACAGCCAGTCCAACCTAACCAAGGCCATGATCGCCCCCCACAACAGCCTCGGCCGCTAGGTAATCCTCCTCCGCCAGTTGGTGAAATCCGAGTCATTTCAGGTGGTCTTGCTTGTGGGGGACCATCCCGTTCGGCTCAGAGGGCAGAACTCAGAAAGATAAGGCAAGGCTCAGACAAAGCAGTTGCCACGGTAGACCGACCCTCCAAACAGCCCAAGCAGTGGATAGAGCCCATCACCTTTACGATCGCCGACTGTACAGGCATCCGTTATCCTCATGATGACCCTCTCGTCATTTTTGCCCTCCTCTCCAACTATAAGGTCAGACGGGTTCTCATTGACAACGGCAGTTCTTCAGACATCATATTCCTCAACTGCTTCCGCCAGCTCAAGATTGGGGAGGAAAGTCGGCTCAAACCCCTTTGGTCGGTTTCACTGGCGACCGGGTGACCTCCATCGGCTATATTGATCTCCCCCTCACCATCGGCAAATACCCACGGCAGACTACCAAGTTGCTCACTTTCCTTGTGGTCGACTGTCCCTCTGCCTACAACATCATCCTTGGTCGCACCGCCCTCAACGTTTTCCAAGCTATCACTTCAACCTACCACCTCGCCATAAAGTTCCCTATTGACCTGGGCGTCGGGACAGTAAGGGGAGAGCAAACCGTAGCCAGGGAATGTTATGTCGCCTCACTCAAGGAAGTCAAGCTGAAGGAGGCCATGATCATTAAAGGACTTGACGTCTGAGATGAGGACGAGCTGGTCAGAGGAGAACTGGTGGAGGAGCTCGTTGAGATTCCCATCGATCCTACCAACCCAATGAAAATTGCCAAGATCGGCAGCCAACTATCCCCCCAAGCTAAGGCCAACCTTACCGCCCTTCTGATTGAGCACAATGATGTATTTGCCTGGACCCATTCGGACATGTCGGGCATTGACCCCTCTTTCATAACTTACCGCCTCAGCATCGAGCCCCATTTCCGACCTTACCGCCAGAAGCAACGCATCTTTCATTCAGAGCGCAATATTCTTATAGCCGCAGAGGTTGACAACCTCCTTGAGGCCCAATTCATCAAAAATGTGGATTATCCTAACTGGTTGTCAAACGTGGTCCTAGTCCGCAAAAACAATGGCAAATGGCAACTCTGTGTCGATTACTCTGACCTAAACCGAGCTTGCCCCAAAGACAGCTATCCTCTTCCCCGCATAGATCTGCTGGTCGACGCCACGGCCGGTCATCAAATGCTTAGCTTCATGGATGCTTTCTCTGAGTACAACCAAATCCTGATGCACCTGTCCGATCGGGAACATACATCCTTCATTACCGACCGAGATACCTACCACTACCGCGTGATGCCATTCGGACTGAAGAATCTTGGGGCCACTTACCAACGGTTGGTCAATGCCATTTTCCATCATCAGATAGGTCGGAATATGGAAGTATATGTCGACGACATGTTAGTCAAGAGCAAACTCTCTATTGATCATCTGACTGACCTGCAAGAGACCTTCGCCACCCTACGCAAGTACCAAATGAAGCTCAACCTAGAGAAGTGCGCATTCGGCGTAGGATCTGGGAAGTTTCTGGGTTTTATGGTCAGTCAGCGGGGCATTGAAGCTAACTCTGAAAAGATCAAGGCCTTGATTGAGATGCAGTCACCCAGAACGGTTAAGGAGGTTTAAAGGCTCACTGGCCGAGTTGCGGCCCTTAACCGCTTCATTTCCCGCGCAATAGATAAGTGCCTACCATTCTTCAAAGTTCTTCGGCAAACTTTTGAATGGACAACTGAATCTAAAGAGGCTTTTCAGCAGTTAAAGCAGTGCATGGCCAATCCCCTCCTCCTTTCACAAGCAATTACAGGCGAGCCCCTCTTCCTCTATTTAGCCGTCTCAAGCACCGCAGTCAGTGTAGCTCTTATCAGGGAAGACGACTCTGTCCAACGGCCGGTCTACTACATCAGTCGGGCTCTCAGGGGAGCAGAGCAGAATTACCCGCTGTTAGAAAAATTGTCCTTGGCCTTGGTCACCGCCTCTAGACGGCTCCGTCCTTACTTCCAGGCCCATTCCATAATAGTTCTCACCGACCAACCCTTGAAGAAGGTCATGCAACAACCAAAACTTTTCGGCAGACTCATGCAGTGGTCAGTGGAACTTAGTCAGTTTGACATCTCCTATTGGCCTCGAACAGCAATTAAGGGACAGGCTGTCGCGGATTTCATCCTGGAATTCACTAATCCTATCCCAACTGCTGCCCCTCCACCCTCACCAACCCCTACCGAGCCAGAAGACCAGCATTCTTGGATTCTGAATGTCGAAAGATCATCCCGCAGGGAAGGTAGTGGGGCTGGCCTCATTCTCACCACCCTTGAGTGTGGCTATTTCAAATGTGCTCTCCGTTTACCAACAGCAGGCTGCTGAAGTCAGGGCCCGATCGTCCAATTACATCCTGGTCAGTGGCGTCTTGTACAAACGTGGTTTTTCACGACCATACCTGCGATGCCTCAATTCGGCTCAAGCAACCTATGTAATGCGGGAAATCCATGAGGGAATTTGTGGTAATCATTCGGGCGGCAGGTCTTTAGCCCACAAAATACTCTATACTGGTTATTTCTGGCCAACTCTCAATCAAGATGCGACTGGTTTCGTGCTCAAATGTGATAAGTGTCAACGTTTTGCCAACATCCCCCATGCTCCTCCTGCAGAGTTGATCACACTTTGCAGCCCTTATCCGTTCGCCAAATGGGGGATCGACTTGGTCGGTCCATTTCCCACCGGTCGAGGCCAGACCAAGTTCGCGATTGTCGCCATTGATTACTTCACCAAGTGGGTAGAGGCAGAACCCCTTGCCACCATTACCGAGCGGAACACAACCAAGTTCATCTGGCAGTCGATCGTTTGCAGGTTTGGCATCCCTCAGGCCATCGTCTCCGACAACAACAAACAATTTGCAACGCCAAGTACAGGAAGTTCTGTGCTAACCTCCAAATTCAACCATGTTTCTCTTCTCTCGCCAAGCCAATGGCCAAGTTGAGGTCACTAACCGTTCTCTCCTGAAAATCATCAAAACTAAGCTAGAAGCTGTTAAGGGACTTTGGGTTGAGGAACTACCGAATGTACTCTGGTCCTACCGAACTACAGCTCGGACTCCCACTAGGGAAACCCCTTTCCGCTTAACATACGGCGCTGAAGCGGTTATTCCAGTAGAAGTTGATCTGCCTACTCCCAGGGTTTTACATTCGGATCCAACGCTAACCGAAGAGCTCCGTCGGGCAGACCTGGACCTAA